TCTCTCTCTGTAAGGGCGGATGTTTCCCGAGCAAGAGCTGACCTAAATTCTTTCCGTCGTGGGCTGTGTGGCGGATGCACCCGCCATAGGGTAAGGGCGGATGTTTCCCGAGCAAGAGCTAACCTAAATTCTTTCCGTCGTGATGTGTGTGTGTGTGWGAGAGAGAGAGAAAGTAGCGAATAGTAGTGAACGGGAGAGGTGCGATCCCTCTCGTTGTGCATCGAACCCCCTCTTGTTGTGTATCGAACCCCTTTTGTTGTGCATGATGACATCTCTCTTGTTGTGCATCCAGACATCTCTTGTTCATTTCTGAAATATCTTCGTGATTAGGATGAGGAACGAAAACGAGAGGCGTGTTTTGTTCCTCATCCTAATCACGACGGAAAGAATTTAGGTTAGTTCTTGCTCGGGAAACATCCGCCCTTACCCTCTGGCGGGTACATCCGCCACACAGCCCACGACGAAAAGAATTTAGGTCAGCTCTTGCTCGGGAAACATCCGCCCTTACCCTATGGCGGGTACATCCGCCACACAGCCGAGGATCGAAGTACTTGTTTGTGTGGCGGATATATCCGCTGTACACCAAGGGGGCGGAGACCTCTAAGAGGAGATGTCGGAGTACAAACATGCTCTGTGGCGGATATATCCGCCACATAGACGTGGACACCAAGCAGGGGTGTTGTCTCTTTGGTTTGAGGTTAGCTCTTGCTCGGGAAACATCTGCCCTTACACTATGGCGGGTACATCCGCCACACAGCCCACGACGGAAAGAATTCAGGTCAGCTGTTGCTCGGGAAACATCCGCCCTTACCCTATGGCGGGTACATCCGCCACACAGCCGAGGACCGACGTGCTTGTTTGTGTGGCGGATATATCCGCTGTACACCAAGGGGGCAGAGATCTCTAAGAGGAGATGTCGGAGTGCAAACATGTTCTGTGGCGGATATATACGCCACAAAGACGTGGACACCAAGCGCAGGTGTTGTTTCTCTGGTTTGTACTCTGACATCTCCTCTAAGAGGTATCCGCCCGCTCGGTGTGCAGCGGATATATCCGCCACACAAACACGCACGTCGATCCTGGCTAATGATGTTTCGAGACACAACCGAGGATCGACGTACTTGTTTGTGTGGCGGATATATTCGCTGTACACCAAGGGGGCGAGACCTCTAAGAGGAGATGTCGGAGTACAAAGCGGGTGTTGTTTCTCTGGTTTGAGGTTAGCTCTTGCTCGGGAAACATCCGCCCTTACCCTATGGCGGGTACATCCGCCACACAGCCCACGACGGAAAGAATTCAGGCCAGCTCTTGCTCGGGAAACATCCACCCTTACCCTGTGGTGGGTACATCCGCCACACAGCTGAGGATTGACGTGCTTGTTTGTGTGACGGATATATCCGTTGTACACCAAGGGGTCTAATGTCGGAGTACAAACATGCTCTGTGGCGGATATATCCTCCACACAGACGTGGACACCAAGCGCGGGTGTTGTTTCTTTGGTTTGTACTCCGACATCTCCTCTAAGAGGTATCCGCCCGCTCGGTGTGCAGCGGATATATCCGCCATACAAACACGCACGTCAATCCTCGCTAATGATGTTTCGAGACACAACCAAGGATCAACGTACTTGTTTGTGTGGCGGATATAACCGCTGTACACCAAGGGGGCGGAGACCTCTAAGAGGAGATGTCGAAGTACAAAGCGGGTGTTGTTTATCTGGTTTGAGGTTAGCTCTTGCTTGGGAAACATCCGCTTTTACCCTATGGCGGGTACATCCGCCACACAGCCCACGACGGAAAGAATTCAGGTCAGCTCTTGCTCGGGAAACATCCGCCCTTACCCTATGGTGGGTACATCCGCCACACAGCCGAGGATCGACGTGCTTGTTTGTGTGA